GGTGCGACGAAAGTATGAAATAAAATGGTTCAAATTTTTACAAGATATTATTATTATTTATTGTGAAATTTTGCCACCCCCACTACACTACGCCACTGATATGTGTTTCATTCAATTTTAATGTTCCCAGGCTTTTGTGTAGCGTGTGTGGTATGACATTTGTAGAGGAGAGAATGACAGGTACAATAAGCACCTATCCATCCTCCATAGATGCCTTATTTCCTGGGCGAGTTCTGTGTACTTGCTGATTTTTTCACTGCATGTGTTTTGTATATTGTGAGTGTTTGGAATGGATATGTCTATAATGTATGTGATTTTATTGTGTTTGTCAATAATTATGATGTCTGGTCTGTTGTAAATTGTTTTACTGTGATTATGGCTATTGTAGTACATTTTGTGCATGTTGTTTTCCAATACTGTCTGTGGAATGTATTTGTAGTATGGTTCGAGGATGTCTAATAATTTGTGTTTCTTTTCAAGCTCTTGATGTATTTACTACTTCATTATGTCTATGTAAATTATTTGTATGTGCCAAGAGCTTGCAACCAGAAGTGATGTGCTGTATGGTTTCTGGCATGATGTGACATTTTCTGCATGTGTCATTTGTGAGTGTTGTATTTTTGAATATATGTTTTCTGTAGTTTTTAGTATTTATGACCTGATCCTGTATGGCAATCATGAATTCTTTTGTCTCCCCAAAGAGGCATCCCTGAGCTAACCAGCTGTTTGATGCAGTTTTGTCAACAAAATCCTGGGACAGGTCGTAAGGATGTCTGCCATGGAGTGCCTTTTGAGCCCACGATTGCTTAACGGTGTCTATGGTATTTATATGTTGTGTCGTGTCCATATGTTGTAAATGTAAATTTAATGGTGTATTATTTGAGTCTGCTAGAGTTACTGCTTTATGTAACTGTAATGTTTCTTGTTTTTTGTAGAAAAATTCTCGCAATGTCTGTATTTGTTTGTAGTGGATGTTAACTATGTCAATTAGGCCATATCCGTCACCTTTACGTGGAAGGGTTAATCTTTTTATGGCAGATTTAGGATGTTGTTTAGGTTTAGTAAGTGTTGTTCTTGTTTTTATTTGGAGTTGCTTGAGATCTGTGTGAGTCCAATGTATAACTCCAAAAGAATTAGTGAGTACTGGGATGACATATGTGTCTATTGCTTTAACATCATCTTATTTCATCAGTGAANTTTACAGAAGTTTTATTTGAATTTTATGATGCTTTATTTATGAATTATGCATATCAAAGTCTGTAATTATACACAAATTTCAATAAGAAATTAATAACTAGATATTTTTCGTTCATTGAAAGCTTGTATTATTGTATTCCTAATAGCTGTTCTGCCTTGAACAGTCCAATCCCAAGTATCATCATTACATTCTTCAGGCTGAATAACCATATCTAAAACAAGTGAATTATCCTTGCATAGTATAGCTATATTGTGGAGAACACCAGTAGCAAGAATAATAAGCGATGTTTCTAGTTTAGTTTGAAGACCAAACCTTAGACAAGGAAATCTACTTTTCCATATTCCAAATAGTCTCTCTACTGTGTTTCTAGTTTTAATACAAGCAGAGTTATATTTTACTTCTGCATTTGTTGTTGGGTTTAAAAGTGGTGTTATCAAATATGGTTTGCAAGGATAGCCACCATCTCTTGGAACAGTGTTCCACAACCTTTTTCTACTTGCGGCACACCTATGACTCAACATGACTCAACACAGCACACCAAAATGTTATTCCCCTCAAAAACGTATGGTATGATACTATTAGTAGAATTTTGTAATGCCATAAATCTATTATTATTAATATGTTGAGTTTTGTGAGTTACACTCGGTTGACACTGATGGCTGTGTACTATGCTGGATCACAGTCAAGGCATAGTAACCAAAACAAGCCAAAAATTAAATAAGTGTGTCAGTGTGTGTCTGTATTCAGGAATTTCCTAACAATATGACATGTATTCAATATAGTGGCCTTCTATAGTGTGATGTATGTGTCAGCCGCCCGGGGCAAAGGAAAATTTCGCCGTTCCCTTATTTAGGTATCTCAATTTAAAAGACTAAAATTCAGTTTCGTCACAGAATAAGTAATGAAAAATTCCGTGCTAGTGTTGTCACCTTTTTAAAATTGCTGACCCGGAGGACAGGTGAGGTTTGTCCAGAAGTTCCTGATGCATGCGTAATGTCATTTTGCAATGCGAAGAATAATGTGCAGTGCATGCCAGTTCAAAATCAGGTACAGTTAGGGACTAGGGAGACTTGGGTAGGAGTAATGTAAGTAACCTAGATCACATAGCTCTAATGGAGATGTGTTGCACACGATATTGCTGCAAAAATTAACAGTTCACCCAGATAGTGAGTCAATTTCCAGACTGTCCAGGTGGTAACACTATTCCATGCTCATTTTAATTGGCCTGAATCATAGGTGTGATGAAAGTATGAAATAAAATGGTTCAAATTTTTATAAGATATTATTATTATTTATTGTGAAATTTTGCCACCCCCACTATGCTACGCCACTGATATGTGTTTCATTCAATTTTAATGTTCCCAGGCTTTTGTGTAGCGTGTGCAGTATGACATTTGTAGAGGAGAGAATGACAAGTACAATAAGCACCTATCCGTCCTCCATAGATGCCTTATTTCCTCGGCGAGTTCTGTGTATTTGCTGACTTTTTCATTGCATGTGTTTTGTATATTGTGAGTGTTTGGAATGAATATGTCTATAATGTATGTGATTTTATTGTGTTTGTTAATGATTATGATGTCTGGTCTGTTGTAAATTGTTTTACTGTGATTATGGCTCTTGTAGTACATTTTGTGCATGTTGTTTTCCAATACTGTTTGTGGAATGTATTTGTAGTATGGTTCGAGGATGTCTTATAATTTGTGTTTCTTTTCAAGCTCTTGATGTATTTACTACTTCATTATGTCTATGTAAATTATCTGTATGTGCCAAGAGCTTGCAACCAGAAGTGATGTGTTGTATGGTTTCTGGCATGATGTGACATTTTCTGCATGTGTCATTTGTGAGTGTTGTATCTTTGAATATGTGTTTTCTGTAGTTTTTAGTATTTATACCTGATCCTGTATGGCAATCATGAATTCTTTCATCTTCCCAAAGAGGCATCCCTGAGTTAACCAGCTGTTTGATGCAGTTTTGTCAACAAAATCCTGGGCCAGGTTGTAAGGATGTCTGCCATGGAGTGCCTTTTGAGCCCACGATTGCTTAATTAACAGTGTCTATGGTATTTATATGTTGTGTCGTGTCCATACGTTGTAAATGTAAATTTAATGGTGTATTAATTGAGTCTTCTAGAGTTACTGCTTTATGTAACTGTAATGTTTCTTGTTTTTTGTAGAAAAATTCTCGCAATGTCTGTATTTGTTTGTAGTGGATGTTAACTATGTCGATCAGGCCACGTCCGTCATCTTTATGTGGAAGGGTTAATCTTTTTATGGCAGATTTAGGATGTTGTTTAGGCTTAGTAAGTGTTGTTCTTGTTTTTATTTGGAGTTGCTCAAGATCTGTGCGAGTCCAATGTATAACTCCAAAAGAATAAGTGAGTACTGGGATGACATATGTATCTATTGCTTTAACATCATCTTATTTCATCAGTGAATGAAATACAAGCTTAATAAACACAACAACTGTGATAAAAATATATGAATAAATCTTGAGATTAATAGAATATGTAAAAGTTCATGTCACACCTTTCACCTTGTGACGGCACACCGGTTGTGGAACACTGTCTTAGAAGATAGCATGTGACAGGAGGAACTCTATTCTCAAATTTCAGACATAATTCTGAATTATAAAATATTGTAGAATCATGTACTGATCCAGCCCATCTTGCTACTAAGTTTCTTATTAGTAAATTAGCATCACTGACTACCTAAAAATATTAATTGAATGAAAGATGTAATATTTATATTTATTCAAATTTAAATACACACACAATTTATTTATGTAAACGTTCTGATAAAGAATAATATAAAATTTAACATACCTGGGTATTGATTGGAAAAATAACTTTTCATATTTCTAAATAATTCTGCATTTGTTCCAGGAGATGAAATTGAAATATGAGTACAATCTACTGTACCTATAACACCTGGAAACTTAGCAATATCATAAAATTTTTTAATGACTTTTCTATATTCCAGCATGGTCGATGGAAATGCAATGTACTCTTTTGAAAGGCTCCCCCAAAGCTTTAGTTACAGTTTTAATTGTCCTACATAAGCTTGATTTTGATGTTGAAGTCAGATCTCCCACTTCAAGATAAAAGTTTCCAGTGGCATAAAAACATAAAGTAATCAATAACTGTAATAGAGGTGATATAGGGAATAGTTTCTTTTTGTATTATATGATGACAAGAGGTATGTTGATTTCATCACATACATGTACAATAGTTCTTTCAGAGAGCTTATACCTTTTGATAAACAGTTGATCATCAAACTTTTCAATAGGATTGGATCAATCACAATTAATCGTCATGGAATTCAAAAGTAATTTTGTATTATTTTGTTTTCATACACGTACTCTGCAAAGTAAGACAAATCTTCAGCCATGTTTGCCGAGATTAGTACATTAATTGCCTGAATTTGGTGGATTAGTTACTAATGTCAGATTATATCTAATCTTAAAATAGTGGAACACAAAATCAGTAATCCTGGATTTGTCTAATCATCTGTTGGTGAAATAGAGGGTAATAGATTTTTATAGAAAATCAAATAGTCTGAATAGACTCTATATATAATTCTTGAACAAAGTAAAAATTGTTGCAATAGCTTATTAAGGCTAAATAAATAAATTTAATTTTGGATGAAAATACTTCTTTAGATTAAAAATGTCATATAACATTAATATTGAACTAATTTATTATAATTACTAGTATTATTTGATTATTTATAATTTTGGTTATTTTGATATGTATTATTATATTAAACGTTTTTTTATTTCAAATTTTTAAAATTTTCAGATATCCAGTATTATTTTCTTTGAATAATGGAAAATTGGGTACTGTATTTGCTCATCCAGAAGATTCATTGGTTTCTGTTAATATTAAAAGAGGTATTATTTCTGGATTTGCTATTTCACCATCATCTACAGATGGTGAAGAAAAGGTAAATTATAAAATATATAAAAGTTGAAGAGAAGTTTTATTATAATACTAAAATTATCCATATTTGTTTATACAAATATTTTAATGAAAATCAAGCTTAATTTTAATAGTCTTAAGTTGATTACAAAGTATTGTATATAAAACGTTTTCAAAATTTATGCAAATTAGAATTACAAAAATTTAAAAGGTTTTAAGCTATTTTGTCTATTCTGCCTCAATTTTATATGCATTGGCTTACAACTAAGTGAAACATAAAGAAGAAGACCAAGAGTTTTAGACAACTTTTTTTATTGCTCTTTGGTCTTCTGACCCTTTTTTGCCTTGTCCTCTTAGTGTCCCAGGGCAGAAAGAGTTAAAAAAGGACTCTTTTTTTGGCCCATTTCACTTGAAGGATGAATTCATTGGGTACAAATCAAAATAATAAAACAGTAATAAAATATATAACATACCTTTTTTAATCATTCATTCATAATCAATCATTTATTCATTTTTTGAATCTTGTAGGTTTGATGGTTTTGTCAGTTCTTGTATTTGTTCTAATAGGGAGGGATTACTTTGATCTGTATTGGATTATTGTAGTTATACAGTAGACTCTCCATTAACTGGAACTCAAGCAACTGGCAAAAAAATTGAAGAAATAATATTTTAAATAAAAATTAAAATAAAATTAATTTCTAGCAGAAATATAAGTTTAAACTTGGTACACTGCACCATGAGTAAGCCCATGCTTTGCACACTCCATTTTTGTCCTGCCATTTAATTAAAATTGCACAATACATTCACAAAGCTGTTTTTAGTATAAAACTGTGTTAGATTAAGTTAAGTTTCTTTATTTGTTTTCATTTGCTTTTAATTACTATATTTCATTATTAATATCAAGTCAATATAGAATTTATGGTATGGTATAGTATGTTGTATATTATTAGTTAGGCCTTGTTTTAATAGCCTAACTAATAGAAACTACAATTATCTGGTATCTCCAATCCTCATGGGTGCCAGTTAACTGAGGGTCCACCATAATAGTGTTCTGAACATACATTGTTTCCAACTTTCAGTTTGTATGTTATTGTATTTTTGTCAGCATATTTATGTTGGTTCTGTTGTCCAGTTTTTAAGTGTTGCCAGAATTGCCAACTGATTTGACACTTTAATTGGTATCTTACTTTTTAGTTTCTTCTCTTCTGATTTAAAAGATGAGTCTTGATCTTATACTTCTTTGGATATCCATTTGTTACATGAATTCATTTCACAGCTTCAATTATGATTTTGATATAGTTTTTCATTATTCTAAGTTCTATGTATTTTGAGAAGTAATTAATTACGTATGCTTTTCCTTTTAGGTGAAATAAATTATAACTGTTTCTTCCATAATCTTTTTGGCATGACAGATATAGTATGTTTGTATGTTATATATTGATATTCTTGGATGGCTAATATAGACTCTCTGGTCTTTCTTTTACGCATGACTATTCCTCCATGTTCCATATGTCTTTTAAAAATATCTGAAAGTGTCATGGTTGGTATGACTATTCTCCTGTACTGTACATGATAATCCGTCTAATTCATGTAGTTTTTCTTAAATTAAAACACACACATGAAACCTTTCAATTCCAGCAGAGATGTTTTAATTTGATACAAATATTTTTGGCCTCTTATAGGTGTTCTTCTGTTATAACATCCAAGAAAGAGAATGAACTGCATGTCTCTACTTTGGAAGAAAACCGGCACAACTCAAAATTACTAGTTTTGAGAAAATCCCATGCAAAGATTTAACTGAAGTGTAACTGAATATCACTTATCTCCCACATAACTGCTCCCTAGTGGCTGAATACAGAAGTTACTTTTGTGACACTCTTCCACATAAAAATTTACTACATTTTCGTTTTGATTATGACATAATCGAAAAATTGCACTTTTTTGAGTTATGCTGGTTTTCTTCCAAAGTAGTGATGTGTTCTATTTAAGATTTTATATTTGTATATATTCTTTTCCTTGATGCATTATTATATTAATAGAATTTTGAAATGCACATGTTTCAATTATATGTAAAATTAACATTTTTTTCTTGGATCTGTAATCTGTTATTTTCTAATTATGTCATAGAACATTTGGAACATTCCAATTTAGAAAATATCAGAATTTTGTACTTCAAAGCTAAACCTGAGGAAGGTCTACAAAATATACTGAAAATGTTTGTTCATTTACTGAATAAACTCATTGCTGGAAGTGTGAATTGTTTTGCTTTATAGACAAGTGACCTCTATTCCCAAACAACATAGTCTAAGGAAGCCAAACTTCTAATTATTTTATTTTATTTTTTAAATTTAAACACCAAACAGGAGAATAGCAAAAGCTCTTTTGCAATCTCCTCTAAACAAATATAAAAACACCCAATAAAAGAAAGGCATGAATCACTTTCAAATAATAATTGTTACAATTCAAAGTTTAGTGGCTAACAGGTTTTTCTAAATAGTTTTTTCTGTTTAAATGCTGCTAGTTCTTTTAAATTTTAAAATTTACATAATACTGTTGTAAATATTCATAACACATTACATAAAATTATAGAATATGTAGTTTTTTTATTTATTTATAACTATATTAAATATAATTTCATATTATATCTTTATAATTATGAGTTAAATTGAATAATTATAATTATGCAATTATATAATCAATGCCTTTGCTGCATTGCCAGTTCTATATTGATATTACTTGTTTATTGTCCTTTCTGCTTATTGTTGCTTCTACTAATAGTTATCTTGATACTGTGAGCCTTTCCACATATAATGTCATGTCTGTAATGTGCTTTCAACAGTTAATAAGCTAAATTGCATCTTTTTAAGAAGATTCTAGAAGCAGACACCCTTGCCCATTATAGTTGTCTGTGGACTTCTACAATGGGCAAGAGGTAATTCTAATATTTATACTTCTATTTCACAATTAATATGATTAAGATTACAAGCTTTCAGGAAAAGATCTCACAAACAATTAAAAATCTATATGAATTGCTTCTTTTACAATTTTAAATTTTGTTTTAGATGTTATTATTAGCAAAATAAATCTTTTGCTAATAAATAAATCAGTGTGATCAAACTGACTTACCCTCTACCTCTCTTCTACTAGGTTATATATAACAATCCACAAAACCTTTATATAACAGTGTTGTGTCCGTTACAATATCCACTAACGTTTTCAACCTCCACTGAGGTCTTCTTCAGGTGCTGATTAAGCAGTGAAGAAGACCTTGGTGGAGGTTGAAAACGTTAGTGGATATTGTAACGGACACAACACTGTTATATAAAGGTTTTGTGGATTGTTATTACTCAATGCAGTGTTAAGATTAGAAGTTGTAGTGTGCTAGGTTATATATTTTGTGGATATTCCTAAAGAATCAAGTTATATTATTAATTCCAGCAGCTTTGAGAATTTTATTGATTTTTTAAAAGAACAATACAGTTTTTATTTGAAGTTAAATATAAGATTCAAATAGGAAATTGATATAAAAGCAGACATGAGATTGGATTAATTATTTACTTTTGTTTTGAATAAGTATATGTGTAATAAAAATTATAAATATTAAATTATATTTATATAAAAATTATAGATAAACAAAAATCATAGTTCTGATACTTTTCTTGTATTTATTTATTTTTTCGTTTTTATGAAAAATAGACAAATGTTTTAAAATATGTAAAATAAAAAAATTAAAATATTTATTTATTTATTTTTTAATTCATAGTTACATAGAGATATACATGGTACTTGTCCAAGAAAAATCTTTTATAAGAATAATCGCAGGATATCATCATCTAAAGATATGCAAAGATGTGCTTTTCCAAGTCATCCAGGTTGGCATCTTAGTCCATGGTCATTTTTTTGGAACATGGTGAGTTATTAACTTATGTGTAAGTGAAAGTTATTATTTATTAAATTTTGTATTATACATAGTATATGCAGAATTATGAAATATTAATTTCCGATTTAAAAATGTAAAGCCACCTGATGTAGCGTATTTCTAAAAATTTTCTGTTTTAATCATTAAAAATAAATATTTTGATCTACATTTATTCTTGAGAGGATACATGCTTTTTTATTTCAATAATGAAAAAAATGTGAATTGTTTTGGAATATTGGAGATGATGTACAGTATATCTTAAAATATTCTATTTTTAAATTCCTGGTGATATTTCTATGTCAAAAAATTCAAATATTATATTTTACTTGATTTCTTCTTTAATTTAAATGTATATAACACTAATTTTTCATCTTTCCATTAAGATTCATAAAGAGAATTTTAATAAATAATTTTCTAATAAATAAAAAGACAAGTCAATTCCAAAATTTCCAAAAAAAAAAAAATTTTTGGAATTGACTTGTCTTTTTATTTATTAGAAAAAATTTTTACATCCAGCGAAATTTTAAAAATAGAAATAATTTTCATTAACATAATTTAGATAAGTTGATTGTAAATTCTAATATTTATACTTCTATTTCACAATTAATATGATTAAGAATACAAGCTTCCAGGAAAAGATCTCCCTCATCACCACAAACAAGTAAAAATCCATATGAATTGTTTCGTGTACAATTTTAAATTTTATTTTATTTCCTTTGCTAATAAGCAATTCAGTGTGATCAAATTTAAGCATGAGTTATATTTAATATTAAGAAATAAAGATTTATGCAAATTAAAACAAAGTGTGCCATTGTAATATGTTAAAAGTTTATTATAAAGATATTGATGTAACGGACACTATAAAGCATTATATTGATAAAAATCTTAACAAAACACAAAATTTAACAAAACACAAAAACTAGTCTTGTAATCTATGAAATTTGTTGGCATTGTTTTTATTATAATCCATGATATTTTTTTATGCAGAAATTTTGATTAGTTTAGCTATTTTTGTCATGATAGATACATTAATTAATCACAGACATATAGAATTAATTATGCAATTTTCCAATTGTGTTTAAAAACTTCAAACGTTTTATTAACTGTAATTAAAATTTTGATATTGTGTATTTTGGATAAAAATTTTTTCTGTATGTATTTTAGAAAAGCAAAAACTTCATTATAATATTTTGGAAATAATTAATGAAGGTAATTATGACAAAATGATTATTTAGTAAAATTAATTTAGTTGAATATATTTAATAATTTTTGTAATTTATATTTAAATAACTAATACAAAATGGAAACTATTATGGCAGTTCTGAATACATCAATTTTTTGAAATATTTATAGATATGGAAATAAATAGCTTAAAGTCTGATTCTTCTTAGTAACATTAAACTGTTATCTTCTCATAATCTGTATCAGTTATCATCTTTTCCATTTATATATAATCTACTTAATCCCAATGAATAAAATATAACATTGTTATTGTAGAAATATCAAGACTATATAAATTAAAGATAGTTAGTAAACAGTTATAATTTAGGTATTCTATTTAGGTATTAAAGTTAAATATTTTGACTTAAAATATCCATTGTGTTTAACTATTATTTAACTTTAATTTTTTTAATTGATTGTATTTTGTTTTCAAAATAATATTTTATAAAATTGAAACAAATTTAAATATAATGTGGAAATAACAAATTAAATCAATATTAAAAATGCTTTGAAAGTTGATATTTTAATATATAAAGGAAATTTTAAATGTTTTAATGGATAATATTTTAAATGTAATATTGTTTGATATAGCATTCATAAGATTATACTTTAATTCTTATATTAATTTGGTATTTAGAGTTTCATTCAATATTTAATCAACTCATCTGCTGACTGTGATTATTTACTTAATGTAAGACAAGATGAATTAGAAAGCATTTCATGTCATGAAAGACATGCAATTCTACTTGATTCTTCACAACGAACAGCAAATGCAGTTCAAACAAATATAAAGTAAGTACAGAATTAAAATATTTTGATTTCAAAATAAAACAAATTTATTTTTAAAATGTGATTATTATTATCCACCAAAATAAATCATTTAAATGTAAAAAGCTAGTTGAAGTATATTTAATTTCCCTATACTCTGTTTCAACTAAGTTGTTATTGTCTTAGCCAACATAACAAAAATTACCATAATGGGGTAATTACTGACGAATGCCAATATGCTTCCGCACAATATAGTTGTAATGTAACATGTGACACAAATTGGGGTTACACAAATTAGGGTTCAAATCAAGTACCAGGCCTGAACTTAATGGGAAGCAAAATACAATGATTCAAAATAACACTTAAATATTATTGTGGTTTTTTTTTCTTATATATTACATTGAACAGTATTATGTATATAAACAACAATGATTATAACAAGAATTAGTAATAAATATATATTTCAAATATTCAAAANAAAAAAAAAAAAAAAAGTCAAGATCAATTATATAGAAAATAAACAATCAATCAATGAAAAAATTCTTTTTGATATAATCAATCAAATCACCAAAATAATTAAGCAAAGAATACACTTCCTATGAGCTGATTGTTTATCAAAGAATGCCAGACAATTTGCCGCAATGAAGGTCATTGTTGGGAGCTACACCACGTTAGAATGGGTGTGTCACGTTTTTATTTGTCCACAAGTGTAACTTTGCACTACCCTATTTACTTGTATATATCTGTGCACCACGGAATTAGTCACTCATATAAATTAGTATATTTTGGTCTCTATTTTTGAATTTTGTATATTTGGAGTTTCTTGGGAGTTTCTATCCTTAAAAAAAAAGACCCCAAAAAGAAAATAACAATAACTAAAAATAATACCCAAACCATAAAATAACAATCAGACTTCAACTCCTTACATAGTTTTATCAAAAAATTCCTTTATAGGAGTTCTTACATTATGAAATTATTTACAATAAGCAACATGGAGAGTATTAAAACATTCAAAACAATCTGTCTTTTATCACTTTTGACGGCTTACCTTTTTTGTGCTCAGTAAAAATCTTTCCCACAGACAGTATTCTTGAACAAAACTGAATTTCCTGCTTCCTCAAGATTTGAATTTTAAATTACTTGTACTTGTTTTTAGTTTTCATACATTAATAATTTTAAAATAAACAAAGCATTATCACATTGCTTATTGTGAAAAATTTATAATATAAGGACTTCAGTAAATGAATCTTTTGATGGAACAATGTTGGCATTCTTTCATACTTCACCTACACAGTGATTTTTGTGATGTCATATCGTTTACATCACTATCAACTTAGTTGAGACAGAGTATAGTCTTTTATATTATTTTTATTCTGAAATCACTTGTGAATAACGAATAGGCTTATATAAAATAAGTTAAATACTTAATAAATACATAAAAATATAAATATGACTTTAACAAAGGTAAAACCTTGCTTTTGTCATTCTTTTCACTGTTTACACCATCAGCAGTCCTTAAACAATTCACAAAGTTACAGAGACGACCTTTCTTTTGAGGCTACTGCCTGTGCAAAAAGATGTAAATCGGCCATGTATTTCTATTATTTTTTACTTAAAATGTGATATGGTGACAGTGGCAATAACATCAGAGGACACTTTGCCTGTTTTTACATTTTTTTGCGGAGGCAGTAGCCTCAAAAGGAAGGTCGTCTCCATAACTTTGTGAATTGTTTAAGGACTGCTGATGGTGTGAACAGCGAAAAGAATGACAAAAGCAAGGTTTTACCTTTGTTAAAGTCGTATTTATATTTTTATGTATTTATTAAACGTAGATAACGCTGGTCATGTATTTCTATTTTTTTTTTACTTAAAAAGTTAAATACTTTTGAATTAAATAATTTGATTTACTATGCTAAAAAATTAATTATTATACTAAAACAGTATCAATTTCAAAACAGTTAGCTAGTAAATGATTATGATATTTGGAATGATATACTTTTCTTCATTGTGATAATAAAATTACTCTAATGAAAGAAATAGAAAATATAATTAACTGTAGATTGAATATAATATCTTGAGTTAAATACTTGGTATATTCTTTCATTACATTGTGTTTAATTTTATTATTATATTGAAAACTCCTGACTAGTATTTAATTCTAGATGCTTTAATTGCTCTATAATTAATTACTTAATTTTTACTTTCCTGGCTGTTATATATAACAAAGAGGAAATGATTCCCCAGAATATTACATTTTTTGGACTCAGGATCTTGAAGTGTTGAGAAATGTAAAAAATTTAGGGGTAATTTCTATATATATGGATGTTAATGTGTGTGCTGTGAAGTTAAAGATGAGAGTATTGTTAGCTGATGAACACAAATATATTGAATAAAGAGCCATGCATAGCAGATAGTGAAACAAAGTATTTATTTTTGTGGAAAAGATACAGGTTCTTAAGGATTCCAATACAAAAACAACAAACAGTAACACAGCATCACCCAAAAAATCCAAAATATCAGCTGAACTGTGACAAAATGTCGTGAGGTGTACAAAGAACTGAGCTCAGATAATGCTATAACTATTTTTTAAAACTAATTTATACTAAGGAAGAAGGAAGTCCAAAAGGATAGGGAAGAAATAGTGAGATAGTTAACAAAACAGAATTGAATACCAGGATGTACAGTACAAACAGCACACAACTTCTGTGAGAGGCCACATGGAACTCACTTGGACTGACTTTGAGTCGTCGTCTTTATTTTTCTAGATTTGAGACTTGCTGTGTTGTCACTTCAATAAGTTTATTGATTTTTTTCAGACCAGTTTTATTTCACCAGTCTTGCTAATATGCGACAACACTCAGCATCATCATCTTCATCCTTACTCATGATGGCCAGCAGAGCAAAACTTCTCTTGCTCCAAACTTGCCCTCAGGTAGCCTTGTCCCTCTTTGTTCACCTGGTTCTACAAATTGGCTCTCACCTTCCAAGGGACTAGAGTAAGAATAGAAAGTCCTAGAAGTAAAAAGGAAGAATGAAGGAAAGATTCTAAAACTATGACTAAGTGAAAATTATACTATGGCGTACAACCACAGTGCATGTGTGTGAGTCCTCCACACGTATGCACTATGGTTGTATGCCATAGTATAATTTTCACTTAGTCATAGTTTTAGAATCTTTTTTTGTTCTTCCTCTTTAAAGTTTAATAACTCCTGTGCTTTTTGTCGAAAATTTCTGAAATTTTGCAGGGAGGATTGTTACCATTAAATTTTGGTGATTACAGGTTGAGGGGATGGAAAGATAAAAGAGGCCATGTGTATTTTAAATAGGGTCACACTTAATGATGATTTTACTTATTATTAGCATTTACAGTTTGTTATATAAAACTCATCCCTACCCTCAAAATTAAGTTTTTTTTGCCATTTTAAAATACATTTTAAAAAATAAAATATCATAACAGATGCTGTCACCAAACGTTACCAGGAAAGTTAAGCAACTCATTGCTGGATTTTTAAGATTGATATAATTTTCTGTTCTATTTATGACAGTCTAATTTGAGATCTTACAATATTGATTATTTTTTAAGTGAATCTGCAGTAAAATTATTTATATTACTTTGTATATGTTCTTATATATAAAGATAAATGTTTGATTTAGGGAATTCCTATTAAAAATTTTCTATCATATAAGAAAGAAATTTAGACACCAATTTGTGATTGTTGAAGAAAAATTTAATGTGATTAATTTAATTAATTATTAAAATTTTATATATAAGTATGTTTGAAATTAGTAAGGTAAATTTTTATGTAATGTTTTTATTTAATAAAAAATCTGTGTATAAGTTTTCTTGTTAAACTGATATAAAAGTTTTTAAACAGAGAGTGAAAATGTGATTTATTTAACATTAAAATGCTATTTATGTTTCTAAAATTTAGATATAGACTTGAATTGGAGTCTTCAAGCAGAAAATCATTCAAGCAAACATATAGATTGAATGAGATGCGTAGTACAGGAATAGAATTTGAGTATGAAGAGACTCCTGATCCACTCTTACAATCATCAGATATACTGAATGAAGTTCAAAAAGTTTTATCTGATTTAGTTATTAATAGTCAGGATAAAATACATCTAGGAAATGTTCCAAAGTTTCATGAGTTTGTAACACTTCTCAGGAAATCATGTGATTTGATCCCTTTCATTGATTCAGTAATTTCATGCAAATTCTTGGAAAATGTTCCTCGTTGTAATAAATTACAAAAGGTATAATTGTGCATATGTTTATTTATTAAGATATTTTTTTAATTAAATATAAAATATTCATTTTAAATTATTTGATAGGAACTTGCTTTGGATTATCTCAAGGATGCTTTAGTCCAGTGCAATACAGCATGTTGCATAAAAGGAATTCGGCATTTGATTGCTAGAAATCAAATTTCACAAATATACATGAATTTTATTTTCTTTTCTTGGTCAGATATTCATATATTAAAGCCAGCATATATTGAAGAAATTTTGGTAATTAATATAAGTCATTAATAAATTAGAGATAAGTTTCGAATTCTTATTTTAAAATTAAAATTATAATATAATTATTTCTTTTTATAAAAAAATTATAGGAAAATTAAATTATGTAATAGTCAGTGTGACTTGAACTTCTTAAAAAATTATGGATTTATTTTATTTCATTATGTGAATAAATATATATGGTATTTTAATTAATTATGGTTATCAGATAAAAATAAAAGAGAGAGAGAGAGAGAGAGAGAGAGAATAAGATTGAGATTGTTTTAAAATTTGAAATAGAAAACATAAAAATAGAATATTTATATTATACAGTAGAGCGTCGATTATCTGAATACCAATCAACCGAAACATTGGTTAACTGAAAACATTCCAGTCGGACTGTGTTGTGCTGAATTGAACGTTTTTGATACTAGATCAACTTCTAAAGTATAATTTTTTTTGTTTTATATTTTTCAATATATTTATTTTGTTTGTACAAAATAAAGAAATAATTTTTAACCATACAATAGCCACGATTATTATTATAAAAATTTTTGTTAGGCTTAACATCAATGAAAATTCAACATGAAGCAACACACAATGGAGAAAAATTTAAACATGGGGTATATTAATATACTATTATTGGGATATACTAATATACTATATTAATAATGTATTTTTTTGTAGTACATAATTGATTATCTGAAAAATCGATTTTCTGAACAACCCAGACCCCAATTGATTCGGATAATTGACACTCTACTGTACAAATATTATATACATTAGTGTTCCCTTCTGTGCAATATTTTCTAATTTTTTTAGTTTCCTAATTTATCATTTTTTGTGCTGACTATGATATATTCTTGATATCTTAGGCATTATTTATTTATTTATATGTTAATTTCATTAAGTTATTTTGGAATTATTATTATTGTCAATAATAATAATTAAAGCAATCTATTAGATATTAAATGAAATAGAAATTAATAAACATAAAAATAAATATAAATATAGAACTATTGTTTAATATTAAAGATACAGTTTAGCATTTCACATCTGATATCATGTCATAGTAAATATTTATGGTACATTTACAGACTTTTATCATTTAATATTTTATATTTAAAATCTGATATGTTAATTGTTAGAGTCTTTACTAAGAGATGGAACACTTCTAAATATATATATATTAAAAAAAACGAGAACTTTCTGAAATTTGTTGCAGTACCAGTATTTGTCAAAACTACACAAAAATTGCAATTGAATCACTAAAGGAAAAATGTAAATCATCTAAAACAGACACTACCAAAAAAATTTCTTACATCAATACACAATATGCAGTTGTCCAGTGAAATAGCTTTAAAATTAGCAACACTTACTGTGATGTTGTGTTTTTTCTTAGTTATTTATTAACAACAGAAACTGGTATCCAGAGTTACATCCAATAGGAAAAGTATAGTAGTTAAAGAGTGAATTAAAAATTAATCACTTTGATACAAATCATAATAATACATTCTTGTTAATTATTATAAAAAACTGAAAAATTATGTGAAATTCAAATAGAAAAAGTTTATTATATATATATATTTTGCAAACAACTGATTGAAATACATTTAGTTTTGCATTAGAAATATAAATTTTCAAAGTTATGTTATTTTTAATACAATCAGCATTCATAACAGAGATGAATAGATAATAAAAAGCAGTAAAAGAGTTGATTATAATATTCTCAATTATGTTTATAAATTATAAGTATTTTCCCTATTTTTTATAATGAAAATATTTCTTAACTGTGTTTAGTATTTCAATTAAACTTGCTAATTGAACATTTAATTTAAAAAAATGGTTTTTATGTATCTAAAAATAAATATATCAATTATAGATATATTATATATATATAAATTTTAT